TTGTTTAAATATTTTTTACCCTTTATGGGGAAGAAGAGTGATAATGCTAAGAGAGACTCTTTGGGGCTGTTGTACGCCGGGGTAGTAATACATTGACTGAAAGCACTAAAATATTTAAGGTGGGGGGCGCTTGCCTTGAAGATGACTCTCTCACAGCTTCGAACTTTTTGATGATGGTCTTGGTAAGCAAAATGTATTTTTGTGAAAAAAAATTGTTATTAATAAAAATTATTGTTGATTTGCCATTTCTTGATTAATAAAACCTATTGTTTTACTGTATCGATAATATCCTTAGTTTTAAAAGAAGAAATAATCTTTAATCTTAATATTTAAAATATGGGACAACGAAACTTTTAAAAGTTTCTAATATTCTAAGATAGTTCTAGAATATTATTTTTTTCAGTTTTAAGTATTTTTATCGTAAAGATTCAGGACAATAGTCAATTAACAACAATGTTCAGTAAGAATCCGCGATAACCACTAATTCAGCAGTACCTAAGTCTTTTTCTTCAACTTTTAACTTCCTTAGAGTAGATCCATTTGTGATTGCCACACATCGCCAGTTTCATTTTTCTAAGATATCTTTCGGGATGATCTACCTTCTCGGGTTTTCAATGATCCTCTCTAGTAAGTTCACTGATAGCTGAGCCTAAGCCATTCCTCTCAATTTTGTGCCGGAAAAGGTCTTCCCGCTGGATGAGGTCGAAAGGAATAGTGCATCCTAAGTACACCTGCACCGCCTCATGAGCTATCGTTCTGTATGATCTAGTTAATCGAAGCAGGTCCATTCGCTGGGTAAAATCAGCTGGAGTCCACTAATTGATATTTTAAAATATCTCAAAAACTAAAAATCGGACCTGCATGTTGATAGGGAAGAAAATGTTCATCATTTCCGTGACATTCCAGATATATCAAGCGATAAGGCCACGTTTGAGACAAATTTGTCTTGAATTTTATAAACCATAAAATTCTGTCTTAGTTGTTCCTGTTTCTATAAGATCCATTCGATTTTTATTGTTATCCTATTTAATCTACTTTTGAAGACTATTTGAGCTGAAAAAAGAATGCGAATAAACTAAAGTAGTGTGTATTAGTTCATAGCATTTACATTGGGATATTTTCATATTTTATACTAGCTGATGTACCCATCGTTGACGGGTTTATAGTTAAAATTTGAGAATCTTTTTTTGAGATGGATTTTGTATTATGGGAGGAGGAGGGTCCAAATTCAATTTCATAAAATTGGGTCGGGTTAAGTGAGGTGGTTGTTTTGAATTTTTTTATGGCGGGGCTTAAGAAGTCAAGATTTCGCAATAGTCATAACAAAGACTTTGTTATTCGGCTGTTTGTTTAGGTACCAAACAACTAAATCGACCACCACAAATCTATTAAAATTTGTTGTATTTAATTTTCATTTATGATGAAGCGAGGAGATTGTGGAGTCGATTAATTAATCAAAAAGATTTGTAGTCTCTCCACTTCTTCAAACTCTGCTGAGTTTATCGTTGGCAACATTGGACATTAAGTCACCTAGATCCGTATAAAATTAGAACTTGATCGGAATATTGTAGCGGGCTGGATGAAATTTTTGGAGTTTTTTCTCCTGATTTCCGGCTAATCTGTTTGGTTAATAATAAAAATGTATACATTTGTTAGGCTCAGGAATTTGAATTGAATGACACCTTGAATGGGAAGATCAGACAAAGTTGAAAAATGAGAGTGTTTTACCCGTTTTATGTTACAACGCGTTACAGATTTTCGGTGTTCCGGATTTTTTCCGTTGAGTTGTGATAATTTTTTCCATCAGTTGAGTAGTACAACTTTTAAATGTTACTCGCGGTAAAGTAGGTTGGGATTAGAATCGTAGTAACTGCCTAACCGGGATCTGTAAAGAAATTACTCAAGAATTCTAAAATATGGTTCTATTCAATATTTTGATTTCATTTAAAGCCTATGTTTTAAGTCAACCAAACCTTAATATAATGTCAAAATTTCAAAAGTCTAAAATAAGCCATTGCTGAGCTTACCCCTGACAAAATTTCGTTACAATGTGGACATACAGAAAGACAAAAATTTTTTTTTAGTGGATTTGTTGTCTGCAATGTATGAAACGGAAAAATATCATAAAACGGGTTGATTATATTTAATGTACAGACAAAATTTATTTTATTTGTATAGAAAAGCGTTGCAAAGAAAAAGTTCTCAAATACACATAAATGATATATCTACGGGTACACAGTATGTATCAAGTAAGATGAACCGAAAGAAAAACATCATCCTTTATTCTATTTCGCCCGCAAACAAATTTTAAACTAATATTAAATTTTTAAAAATATACAATTATTTGTTTCTTATAATTTATTTTTACACCGAGACCACTTTCTAATTCAAAAACTTCTTATGTTTTTGTGAAACTGATATTGGACTTCCAAGATAGTTAGAAATACCATTGTTCAAAGAACTGAACATTTCGTCGCATTGTGCTCCTTTCCAACCATCTTCTTGATTAAAATATTACTTAACGTGATCCTATTGCAACCTCTCAGGAGAAAACCAGGTTCGAAAAGTCCACGGTAGAGAATCATTTATATTACATTAACACCCGTCTGAAACTTCGTGAACGGCTTCATCTAATCGTTACCTACAACATTTTTATCTTCGAAAATTTTTATAAATAGGGCCTATTCTTAATAAATAAATACATTTATTTATTTAGGTACTAAAAACTCATGAATATCTATTTTCTTCCCACTTGAATCGTAAGATAATTTGATTACAGAAGGTGACAAACAGAAATCTTTCGCCGTTTGTCACATATAATCTCGTTATTTTGGCATATGGGGTTGGGCCTGGGGAACATAAGTACCCCATTAATTTTGAAGGCAACTTCTTTTTTTCTCAATTTAAGATTGATCTAGTTGAAGTAAATACAGGAGGTGTGGCCGAGCGACCTAACGCGTGTGCAAAACAAAAGCGGAAAGTAAATGGCTCAATACATAAATGATAGATTTTTAGTACTTCATCGAAATTGAAGCTTCCATAGGCAGTGGATGCCCACAAGGATCAATACTTGGTCCCACTCTGTGGAAGTTTGTATTTGACGAGTTGCAGGGAGTATTCGAAGAGCGTTTCAAGAGCGGTTCTCTGCCACTGGCTATGTAGATGATTTAGCCGTAGTGACGGTCTTCAACAGCAGAACCCGAATAAAACAAGAAGGAGAACGGTACGCCAACTTGGTTGGAGAATGGTGTGAGAGGAAGAAGTTGAAGATGGCTGCTTCCAAGACCCAAGCTAATCTCTTGAAAGGAAAAACAGATAGGGCACTTCCAACCAATATAATGGTTCAAGGTACAAGAATACCTCCAGGTGAGGAATTCACTTACCTTGGTGTCAGATTCGGAAGAAAATTCAATGTCACCCCTCACTTGGACTATCTGGCTAATTGGGTGGCACAATCTATGATTAGTTGAGTAGGGAGCGCTTTCTGGGGCTTTGGGAGTGTGTCTCATGAGGCGGTGTTGGTATTAGCGGTAGGAGTGTCTCTCGAACTCCTCCTGCGAGAAGACATGTTAAAGTATAAATACAAGAAAGAAGGTTCAGCAGGTCTACTGGGAAATCTTAAAATGAAGATTGTTGAAAAACCCAGAAAATGGAAAACTATAATCCGGGAGGATGCAATTGAAGAGTGGAATCAACAGTGGGTGACAAGCCAGGAAGGGGTCACCTTGAGGAAGTAGTTTCTCACTGTCCAATCTGATTTGGAAGCCAAGTGGGTCCTCCCGGATTACTGGATCTCGCAATTCCGTATAGGGCATGGGGGATTTCGTGCCATGCTCCATGGCTTCCCTATGCCCTGTGGAATCCCGGAGACTGTTGAGCACATTATCATAAACTGCGTCTCTTGCGCGTCACTAAGGGCCAAATTGCTGATGGAGACCGGTCTCTATGTTCATAGAGAACAATTTCCCTCAGCTAGTAACGGAACAAAACTACCCGTTACTATAACCTCACAAGAAGAGGTCGCCAGGGAAACCGCCGGAACGAGAAGGAGCGGAATAAGGCAATAAACAGCAGATTAAATATGAAAATTGGTCGCATTGCAGAAACAGGCACTTATGCAGTGAAGTATAACAACACAGTTCTGCAAAACCTGTATTGTTTCTCATGGGCACGGCAGGGTTTATCGACCTCTAGATTGAAAATTTCCCATTTCTAAAAATATTCGTAAATAAAAAAATCGTTGTTTACCATAAGATGAATCCATTCATGACGGATGAGTCTTAGACGGATATTAATAATTTGATAAAAAGGATTGTACCACTGAATATATCATGATTTTATAAAAATATTTGGCCGTTTGGCATAATCTCTACCACAAACTTATACAAATAACGAGGTTATATTGGCCTAACTGTCCAATATTTTTGAGGCTACGTTTTTTCTCGATTTTGTGATCATCTTAATCTACATCTTACAAATCATGTGGAAAGCAAATGTAATAGGGTGTTTTTGTGTTTTAGTACCTCATTAAATTAAATAGTTAATAAAATGTCCCATTTATGAGCATTTTCATGAATAAAATGTTGTAAGCCACGAAAAGTTAAAGTTACATTCTTCATGCTATTCACTTATGTTAATAATTTTATTAAAATGTGTCTGTAGCGCGAATTAATAATATATTTTTTTCTGCCTATCTTAAGATCGTCATTATCTTTTATTATTTTAGTTCAAAAGACATTAATGTTGTGTCCTCAACGTATGATACATCTAAATCATGGTAGAACTTCTTGTTATTACCTCCGTAATATTTCAACGTTAAAATCATTATACCTTCAGCTACTAGCGATCAAGAGGGAAGCGGCGACCCGCGGGTATTTATTTAAACATTTGTTGAAACGGGGGGGCGCTCCCGCGGAGGGGGGAGGGGAGAAGGCGGGCCTGCGCGGCCGACCGGAGGGTCCGCTCTGTCTGCGGGCCGGCCCCGGGATGTACCCGTCGCCATGAACCTGTCGCTCTCGGACGACGAGGCTAACTGGACGCTGGGCAATTCCTCGTCCAACTTGACCTACCTCGATCTTCCTCCTCCCAGGAACTACTGGGCCCTAGTTCTCATCCTCTTTCCCTTCCTCACCCTCTTCGGCAACGTGCTCGTCATTGCCGCTGTCTTCCGCGAGCGATCCCTCCAGTCGGCCACTAACTACTTCATCGTCAGCCTGGCCATCGCAGACCTCCTGGTCGCAGTTCTCGTCATGCCGTTCGCCGTTTATGTCCTGGTGAGTACCTTGATCAAGTACCTTAGGCCATCCTGTCATCCACCTCTTCCTGTCCAAAAGCCCGACAAAGTCTGTAGTAAACTACGATAAAATTGAAAAAAACAAAAACAAAAGCTACGAAAAGTAATTCAGAAATAAACTCCGAATATGCTTTCCAAAAACACAAGACACACAATATAAAAAATATACATATTTGTTTTTTCGTAAGAACGACAAGTGCTTAAATAAAAGAAATACGTGTAACATAGGCCAAAGGTGGTACCTATTGTCATCGCTATTCACAATCCAATGTCATATCTTTTAAGCTTTTTATTGAAAAATGTAAAACTTATAACCCTCGTACTGTGTTTTCTAAGGTAAATTTAGTGATTAATAAATATTTCTTCACAATGTATATCAATTACTTCTTAATTATTTGTTTTATAGGGATCATGCAAAATTGTTTACTTCATTATTTATCTAGGGAAATTAGCGTTATAGTGAAATAAACAGCAATAAAAAACCTACAACTTGTCATTCTGGCACTGTGATATCTAAAGTTAAATGGTTTTGATCAAAATTGGTGTCAGTTATTCTTGTAGTATTTGTTTATGGTTACAATGTAAACAAACTCTGAATATCCTTTCCAACAACACAAGACACACAATATAAATATTTGTGTTTTTGTAAGAAAGACAAGTGCTTAAATAAAAAAATGTAATAAAAAGGCCAAACTCTATCAAAGATACCTTTTGACGTCGCTATTCACGAAACTAATATCATACCTTCATAGTTTCTTAATACAAAACGTAAAACTTGTTATTCTGGCACTATCGTAGAAAAAAAATTTTTTTTTGAGATTATAAAAAGAAAACATCAAAATTGACATTAAATTAATTTTTAATTATCTTTTGCATAGAGATTTATTTCATCATTCAAAATATATCATACAATAGCCATCATGAAAAAATTTAAAATGTGACTACAAATGAGTGTTCCTTCAATAATAAAAACAATACTTCAATAAAATAATCAAAGACCATAGGCACCCATAACCTAATATATGAAACATTAAAAAGTTATTTTATAACGTTTAGGTTAATGATATTAGTTTACCCTGTTAATATGTTATGTTTAACAAAACTTAACTTCGTCAATAAAAGTTTCGAAAGAAAAATAATTCGAATAATAATGAAAAAAAAAATAAAATGTTCAATTATTTTTCATTATTTCTTTATTTTTTTTTTTAAATTGGAGGTTTTCAATCTCCAGAAGCTACTTCAGTTTATTTATATCTCAATAACAGATTCGTCTGAAAAAATGAGAACTGCACTTTAATGCTCTTTGCGGAAATTATTTTGTAAACACAAACATTTATGAATCTTGTGTGCTCGTTAACGCTGTGAAAATTATTTATTTGTGTTTTTTACAACTTTTTTAATGTAATTTATAGATTTTTTTAATATTCTCAGTTTTTAGGTTTGTTGTAATCTTATTTCCGCTTGCGAAGTATTTTAGCTTCGCACGAATATGTCTTGATAGTTATTATAAATAGTAATAATACCATAGGGCAGTGTTAAGACAAAGCTTGACAAACATAAACATGCACATATTATATGTACTTATGTATTGTAATAGTTGAAAAATAATATGGTGGAAAAGAAAAAAAAATATTAATAAAAAGTTCACGCAATGTTCGTAGCAAGATGGGCTTTTTAAAGATCAAACAAAACTGTAAAGTTAAGATACATCATTTTTTTGTATCTAATGATGTAACGATATTCTGAATATCATCAACATTTTAATAATAATTTCAATGAGATAAGTGTCTGATATGGTCTTATTTTGTTTAAAAATCACGAACATAGTTTCATTATTTTTATTAAATAAACTCCAATCACAAATATATTTAGTTCACTTTTTGTATTTTTTTTTTTATATTGGATTCATAATATTTTCATTCGATAAAACATAAGCCCGATCAGATTCTAGTCTACTTAAATCGACAAAATGAATGATGTTGAGGAAAAAAATGCTGTAATGGAATAAACTTCTATTCCAACAGAATTATTTCATTGTTGACGGTTCATTTTTTTTTGCATTGTAAAACTTCGACAGTTCATTGACTACTTGTTTGACCGACCTCAATCCCAAATAAGACTTGTTCTGAAAATTATTGACGAACTTATTTTGAGAGTTATTTTGGTCCGGACAAGAATCGGTAAATATTTACATTGTGTATACGTCTCAAATTCTTCATATAAGTTATTGGTGACTCATAAATTCCTCAGATTTAAAATAAAGTTTCAAATGTTGATCCAATAAACCACGTATGTGAGCATAAACCAATTAGGTAATGGACTTTATTTATCGTAGAGAATAAAATCACCAGCTTCATTGTAATTAGTTGAAATACATGATGCAATGCAATTTCTGGAATATTCAAGAATTTCAGTTTTTATTATATGGTAACTTTATCTAAAATTTATATAAATAGTAATTAATAAAATTCAATAATAAAATATATCAACCAACATAGAACACACGTATAATCACAGTAATATGAGAACTCTTAATCAAGAAAACAAATATTTGGTTATGTTTTACACATATTAATATTTTATATAGCAATAAAATTTGCTTGATAAACATAAAATCATACACCAACATTTATATATGATATATATACACATAGTCAGTGTTGTTTAAATGAATAAATTCACTACTTTTCAGGAGAATATATTTTACAAGACATTTTAAATGATTTTTTCGCCATTGATGCATTTAGAGATCTACAGGAAGATGTTCAAATATGAATGTGACTAATACGTCATTTTCGCATTTCAGATGTCCAATCTAACTATTAATATTTACTCTAAAAAGGAGTAAACTTAAAAAATCTTATTAGTTGAATTCGTATTTTGTATATAACATGACGTTATTTATATTTTATCCGAATACTTTATGAAATATGTGATGTATTTCAAAACGTTTTGCGTTAGCTGTTTTTATTGCTGAATAAATTCAAGTTTTTCCAAATAAATTTGATTAGTATTTAATAAATTATTATAATATAATAACATTAAAATTCTATAATAAAAATTAAATTTTTGGAAAATATATAAAAATGATATTCCAAATATTCTTGAAGATCTCAAGTTTTAGCTAACGTCTACCCTTTTTTTGCGATAACGATAAACTTGATTATAACCGTTTTTGTTTAGAAACATCCAATATTAAATAAAATAATTCGTTTAATACTACTACAATAGCCAGAACACTTTTTGATGATGTATTCCGAAGTCAAATTAATGACCATCGATTTGTTACTATTGAGAAAATTATTGCTTTATATTATTTGGCTACAGCTATTGCTCGACCGGAATTAATTGGGAGCCAAAGGGCAAACTTATGAGACACCAAATTGAAATTAACATTTTGTTTTTAGTTACCTACCGTTATTATTAATAAAATATTTTTAAATATATATATTTTTTTTCATTATCACAATACCATATTGTCATATGTGTATATATTTTTTAATATTGTGTAAGTAATATCGGAAAAGAAATGTATAAAATAGTATGTTAATATCATCTTATTGTAGTAAGAGTTCGTCTGTGGGCATTATAGAAAGTTAAAAAAAAAATTCTTCTTTAGAATATTAAATTGTTTGTTATGCTTTTATAAACGGAGCGATCTAATTTGGATCTACATGAACACTCTGTTATTTTCATACGACGTAAAAATGTATGGCTTTGTGGATTTTTATCATTACCGAGGGCGTTAAAACGAGTGATTTATCGCAGCATTTAACTGATCCCTGGTTCGTGAGATAGGCATCAAACGTTTTCCGGATATTCTCTTTACATTACAACTGTTATCCTACAAAAGAGAAAAGGTCAGACATATCAGGAGGTACATGTATAATACAAATAAATAAACACGATAGTAATAAAATAACATTCCTATACATTGATATTGGTATGTAAATATACTGATTCTTATTGAAAAGACTAATATCAGATCTACAAGGATTTACACTGCGATTACAGCAGTAGTTACCTGATTTTCTACCCTGTGTTACTTATGTGTAATAGTGTAGGAAGTAGTAATCTCTTCAGTATATCACCTGAAAGAAAGAAAGTAAATTTTATTCTGGGGCATTTAGTCCCCTCAGAATAACTACAATGAACAGAGAATTGACTATTATCCGGCGATTGTGAATAATTAAACGACAATTAAAAATAAATTAATTTACAAAGTTGTCTAATCTTAAATTAAAATAAAGAAGCATGTACATCTTCCATGATAATAAAAATTCTTAATATTAAAAATCAAGACACTGTAATAAACATATGATCTTTAAGTAGAAATATGAATTTAAAGATGATTACATGACATACACAGATATCTGCAAGATATCGGCACAGTGAAACTGACATCTCTGAAGTACAAAATAACTTTATTTTACATATATTCGGAAGATTGATTACTGAGGAGGTGGAAAAATAAATCATGTTTAAATGAGGTCGGAGATGAGGGTTTCCGTAAAGATGTTGGTAGGGAATTCCAGAACAAGGTAGCACGGTAGATTTTTTAAAGGAAACAGTTCTATGAGAAGGAATAAACAAATTTGAGGATTGGGATCTCGTGTTGAACGAATGAACAGAGGAACAAGAAGTAAAGAAATCAAGAAGGTAAGTTTTTTTTGGTTGTAAAGATTCGGAAAAGGAATACACCTAGGAAATATTGTCGTCGAAAAACTAGATAGAACCACTTCAACTTGGCATAGCAACTGGAGACGTGGGAGCGCCCAAGTGCGTGGGGACACCAAGTATAAAACTAATGAAACATTTTATTAGCTTCTTTAATCTGATCTCAAGTCCACCAGGCAGTCCACCATATACAATGTACCTGATGTTCCATGTAGATTTAACTCCATCCAGAAAGTATGTTTCAAACTCTAAATGAACTGAATGGAAACGATCTTTTTCTAGATCCAGAATTTCAGTTTTCTATCATGAAAAAGAAGAGTGTCTAGTAAATTCGAAATAAGGTAATATAGAGCCCTATTTATGAGGTATCAATCGAAAGAGAATTTCGTGAAA